GGCCTGGTGCACTGGGAAGACCCAGAGGGATGGGGTGGAGAGGGAGGTGGGAGGGGGGACCGGGATGGGGAATACATGTAAATCCATGGCTAATTCATTTCAATGTATGGCAAAAACCACTGCAATGTTGTAAAGTAATTAACTTCCAACTAATAAAAATAAATGGAAAAAAAAAGAAAAAAAAAAAGATATTGCCAGGTTTTGAATAACATGTCCTTCATCTGCCAACATGGTCATTCACACATTCACTGCCTCCATTTGTGGTTTTAAATATGAACATAGCGTTAGTATTCTCCCCAAGGAATCCATGTGCCTGGAATACTAGAAATGGCTACTAGAAGTTTTCTGGCCAATAAATGGTAATCGGTCAGTGGGGAGGGGCCCGGCTGCTGGAAAGGGAAGGCATTATGGGCGTGTTCACTTGTATCCGACTCTTTACGACTCCATGGACATAGACCACCAGGTTTCTCTGTCCTTGGGATTTACTTCCTCTGGAAGTAAGTCAGGCCCCTCTGGGTGGGAGGGGTGAGAAGGCCAGACTTGCAGGAGAACTGGAAGAAAATGACAGCTCTAGGCCTATAGGAGATAATCTACCCACACTACTTAGAAGTCAGGCACTCGTGGATTTCCTCAGCTGTCTGTTCTGTAGGATATAATTTAGTCCTCTACTCCCTGTCCTACTCCACCCCCCTCACTATATGTCCCAGCATACAGCAAGCGACATTGATTCCCTTTGGGTCACTGCCATACTAAGCTGATGGAAATGACTGCAGAATTAGTCCAATCTATGGTCTTTCTGTGCCTCAGTTTCCTTGGCAATGAGAAAGTGATGATCAGATTCTCTTTAAAAGTGTGTGAGGGCCTTCCCCAGTGGCTCATTGGTAAAGAAGCTGCCTGCAACGCAAGAGACATGGGTTCGATCCCTGGGTCTGGAGATCCCCTGGAGAAGGAAATGGCAGCCTATTCCAGTATTCTTGCTTGGAAATCCCATGGACAGAGGAGCCTGGTGGGCTACAGTACATGGGGTTGTAAAGAGTCGGACACATCCAAACATGCTCACAATGCCTTCCCTTTCCAGAAGCCAGGTCCTTCCCACTGACTGATTAGCACTCAAACTGGACAGCTTCTTAAAACGTGCTCATGGGTGTCCACAAGTGCCGATGAGCGAATCCTTCCCTTGGTAAATTTGTCCATGCTGTGACTGAGCACCAGCAGCATACACCAAGGCTGTGCCATGCCTTTCTCATCTATTATCTCGCGGGATTATCACAGAAATCCTGGAGGTAAGTACTACTGCCGTTATCATGCAGACATAGAAACTAAGGCTTGAGGGAGATAGTCAAAGTAACTTGTCCAAGGTAACGGAGGTTCGGTGATGTTCAATAACTTTCTCAAGTCACACAGCTTCTGAGAGGCAGAAATGGCTTATGTTCACCCATTAAACACCGTTTTACTACAGCACGAGAGACAATGGACAGGGCCATTCCTCACTCGGTATGTATGAAGCATCTGCTTTGGCCAGAATGGTACCTGTCTACTGTCCTGTGTACCACGGCTCCAACAGTGATCCCAACACACAAAAGTCTCTCCCTCTAGGCGTTTATATTCTGGTGGGCTCAACCAGCATAGGTCTGCTACCTCACCTTTCCTGTGATGTTTTACTTTTGTACGTCCTAGAACTCATGATACATGTACTCTGCTGGCCTTAGAGTTCTTAGCTTCTTTCAAAATCAGGACAAAACGGGGAATGGTCAGGCCAGTAGCAGGATTAATTTATAAGCTGCGTTTTCATTTTTTGGTGGCAGATGCTGTTTGCAAGAGACATTTAACTACAAGTGGTTCTGGTGTGTTAGATTTCCTTGCAAATAAGGCTTATTATAAGCCTCTAGAAAGCAAGAGCTGTGGCCTATTCTTTGAACACCTTCAAAATTCCTGGTACCTTTCTGGGAAACTCTCGGGTCCTTAAGATAATATTAATAATTATTAATAGTTTATATCCCTTACAGTATAATGTATTAATAACATGAATGATATTAATAATCTTCCCTGTGTTAGGCACTGTGTCAAACATTCCACATCTATGATCTCATTTAATCCTCACCATGATCCGTTCAGTTTTATTATTGTTTTCTCACCCCCATCATGCAGATGAGCCTCCACCATCTGGGACCTGGGTGCCTGGTGGTTCAACCCATGTGTCCAGGGCGTGAAGAGGAAAGGAACTTGGGATTAGTCTGTGCTGCTCCTGGTCTTTCCCTTATTTTCCTTTTTAAACAGGCATTGGGACTGAAGAGAATGCTATCTCTAGCCTAACCCTCTGCACCAGAAGGCACCCAGCACACCTCTCCACTTTCCCCAGAAGGATGCTTGGGGTAGGGATTCTTCTGAAGAATTTTTGTCAAAAGCATCTTGTGAGAATACCTATGGAACCTCTGGGATGGTGACTGAGGGAGAGAAATTCTGAGTGGGTGGAAATTCCATCCGGTGCATGGGCAGTATCTGGACTTCCTTGCTAGTGTCATTCCAGAAATTGCTCCCATCCCACGAGCACTAAGTTGTGATGAACTAACTCTGAGTAAGAGAAATGACAGGTTAACTTGCCTTTCATTTGTTTTCCATAATAAATGGAATATTTCCTTGAACACTTTAAGTCATTAACATTTCAATTTATTCATACTCTTTCTCTCTGGCATCTTAATGGCAATATTACATAATTATATTTGCCATTTAACCATCATTTTGATGGCTCTTGGCACGCCCGAAGGGGCTGCTGCCACTGCCTTTGTTGGACTGTTGGTTTGAGGAGGCAGTTTGTTTTTTTAATACCGTCCAACCTACCTTTTTGCATGGAATTTGTTAAAGAGGCAAACAAAGCCAGTGCATGAAGTGATGAGGAATAGCGTGAGGGTCCACGCTCACTCTGGTCATGTACTAGGCGCTGTTCCAAGCACTTAAGTGTATTCACTTATTTAATTCAACCACCACCCTATGTGCATGCCTGTGTGCTAAGTCTCTTCAGTCGTGTCTGACTCAGCACACCAGGCTCCTCTGTCCAGTATTCCTGCCCACTCCAGTATTCTTCTCTGGGATTCTTCAGGCAAGAATACTGGAGTGGGTTGCCATGCCTTCCTCCAGGAGATCTTCCCAACAAACCTATGAGGCAGCATCTATTACTATCATCACATCCACTTCTAATGGCACAGAAGCCGAGATACAGAGAGATTGAGTGACCTGCTTAAGGTTACACTAGGTTAGTAAGTGGCGGGGCTGGGCTTTGAACATGTGCCATCTGGGTACAGACTCTACATCCTTCCTTACTACATTATGTCTTTGCTGGGGATTCATGAGTCCAAGAAGATTTCACAGGCCTGTTCTATCCATGCCTTTCCTTCTCTGTGACCTGACTGTTAGATATACATTAGTACTGCTGCTCTGTTGTCTTTGGGTTAAAAAGGATGGGGGGAAGTGGCAAAGTGGCAATGGCATGATGTCTACTTCATCATGCTTCATCAGCCTTGCATCTAACCTCCCAATTGTAGATTTTATCTAAAGATCAATGGCCTTTGAGAAGATGTTAGGTTTAAAATACATGAAGGTATGCATGCATGCCTGCTCACTAGGTCGTGTCTGATTTGTGACCCTGAGCTGTAGCCTGCCAGGTTCCTCTGTCCACGGGATTATCCAGGCAGGAATACTGGAGTGGGTTGCTCTTTTCTCCTCCAGGGGATCTTCCTGATCCAGGGATAGAACCTGTGTCTCCTGCATTGCATATTCTTTACCACTGAGCCACCAGCCCCACATGAAGATATAAGTGAGCATAAATTTTAATGAACAAGTTGAGAATGCCCTCCTACCCCATTTACCATTTGAAGATCAGAACTGAGTCCACCTGCAGGTCAGCAGGCATGCCTGAGAACTAGGAAACTTTCTGAATTTATTGGCACTACTCCTCTAGATTACAGGTGAATTTTCAATCAGGCTTCCACAAATCAGGCTCCGAATGTCTCTCAGTGCATCTCTGAGTACATACCAAACTCTGTCTGGGCCCATGCCAGGAGGTAACTTAAGATAGCAACAGAGATGCATGTTTGTTTCCTTCAAAGTGATACATCAAAATAATTATGCCTGTGCTTTTGGTCTTAGAAGCACAAACAGAGGCTGCTGATGTGGAAAGGGAAAGAGACTCAGAGGAATATTTTAATTTTAGAAAACAGGCCTTAGCGTCAAAGAAATTGCCCTCTTTAACTCATTAAAAATTACCACATTCCTTTCAAATGAGAATAAAACTAATATTTCTTAATGCCGTTCATCATTAATATTATGCCAATTATTGCATTACTTTTGCTTGATAAATATTCAGAGGATAAATGAAGCCCACAAGATGGATTAATTCTACAGCAGCACAAACAAAAAACTTTCAATATTTTATATCACATAATTAAATGCTGTTTGTTGTTTCTAGAACCAGGACTTGGGACATGTTAATTAATTGCTTCAAGAAGACAGTAAGACATGTCTCGTGGTTGATATTTGAAATCAGATATTTATAAACACTGCATAACACTGCTGATGAATTACGTGTGCAGAATAAATCCTACCTGCAGAAGTCTGGGGGCACCATGCCATAAACATTGATCCTGTCACAGAGCTCCAGGGCTATTGTCATTGTGAACCAGCCAGTGCTAAGCCAAGTGTTGGAGATCTTCCTGGAAGGAACAGTAGTTTAGTCTGCAAACTGGTAAAGTAATCATTATACCCCTTCCATCTCAAATCTTATCTGGAACAAGGATAACTATACACACACACACTCTCTCTCTCCATTTGATAAACAGCCAGAACTTTACCAGATAGCAGTATGTTACCAATACCACCATATTCCATGATACAATGGTAAATGATGTCAATGTTCCATTATGGTGGGTTCTTAAGGGACTTCTACATAGTCAAAGCTGATGATCAATGTTTATGTGTAAGTTATTACCAATTTCTTTTTAAAAAGTATTTATTTATCTATTTATTTGGCTGCATTAGGTTTAATTGTGGCATGAGGGCTTGGTTGCCTCATGAAGATCCCCTTGTGGGATCTTCATTTCACAACCAGGGATAGGACCCATGTCCCCTGTATAGGAAGGTAGATTTTAACCACTGGACCACCTGGGAAGTCCCACCACTCAATTTCTTGTAAGATGACAATCCTCATGTGTCAAATCTTTTTTAACTAGAATACTTCACTAGCTATAAATATTCTTTTTTCTCCAAGCAGGGTGGATAATGAAGAACTTATTAAAATGAATAAATACAGTTGTCTTTATTTACCAATTGATCTATTTACCAATCAAATTGTTGTAGGGTAGAAGCTTGCCTTTAACTAGACTAACTGACACCCAAATCTTGACTGAATGTCTTTCCTTAAAAGAAGTCCATTCATTTAGGAAGGGACTAATGATCAGAGGAAGAGGACACAGGAACGCTTATGTTTAATTGAGTATCTGCTTTCTTTTCCATCAAAAGAGTCAGAGCCCTATGAAAATTTTTGTTAGAAGAACCAAAAATTGACAGAATGTAAGGACTGCATTGGTGGGTTTTGACATTCATTCATTTACCCATTCAAACATCTGTGTTGAGCTCTAACCACATGCTGAGTCCAAGGGTAACTGTGGAGATACACCATCAAGGTCTCAGCTGACCTGTGAGGATGACTTGGTCCACCATGTTATGCTGCTGTGGATATTAATTTCAATTCTTTGGGGATTGCTGTTTTTATCTTTCCCCCCAGTGCTTATGGTAGGCCTCATTAGCCAGTTTCAAAACCTTATCCCCAAGGTCAGACTGCCTGACTTTGCCCAGCCACAGCACCATATGAGATGTGAATAACATAATTACAGAAAAGCTTTTCTCCTGGCACTGCACAGCATCCCTCTTTAAGGAGGAAGAGTTTTTGTTAAGCAGTTTGCACTATTTCCATTTCACATAAGGAATAACAACCAAAAAAGGTATTTTAAGAAGTCTTTTGTTTTATCACATACCTGACAAGAATGGGTAATTTAGTCATTCCTGAGCTCATGGCTTCAACTTTCTAGTTCTTAATCCCTTTACTCATTTTTATTTTCCATTCTATTGTATCCTGATCCAGTAATAGCCCAGGAAGTACATTTAAAAGATTCTCAAGATGGAAATAACACAGATTTGCATCTTACTAGTTTCTATCATTCACCAGTTGAATGACCTGAGGCAGGTTACTATTATTCTTTCTCATCCAGAAAGCAGGCATGGGAAGCTCTATCTTCCTGAGCAATTTGTAATTTCAAGGACTAAGAGAGACAACATCATAAGAAGTATATAGTCTGGTATGTTGATACATCAAGGTCCCTTCCTTCTCTCTTGGTTGCTAGGTTGGAGCAAATGAAGTAAATAATTCAGCCATTACTCTCAGTGCTTTTTAACACACACAAAGAAACTGATATCCTTCTAACATGGCTACTGGCTCTTATGTAGAATCCATCATCAGTAGCTAGGGAAGTAATCAGAAAATTCTGGGACCGCCAGTCTACACAGGTATTAATGATCCCGCTTCTTTCTCATCAGGGCTGTGTATTCCTAAGGCCTTTGGGACTAAGGGGATAGTACAGCTGAATGTGGGAGGGGAAGGGAAGGCCATGCCATGCCTCGTCTTTACCAATGCTGTGACCTTGAGATGGCCAATTGTTCCAGACTTAAACTAAGTGAGTGAACAAGTAGGAGAATGTGGGGTCCAGGAAGAAAAAGACAGCTTATTGATATCCACAGATTCCTGATCCAGGAATCACACTGGGTCCCTATGATTTCAAGTTGTAGGAAACACCAAGAAGGCTTTTCCCAGTGGCAGAAACTTCCCCACAGTTTTGGCTTTCTTTTGTGTGATGTAGTAGAAATCACAAGCCACAGTCTGAAATACAGGAGGATGGGACTCTACAGTAAAAGGTTTAATGGGTAAAAATGGGGAGAATACAAAATGGAGGACTAAGGAAACCAAGATGAAGGTTTCTTTAAAGTGACACTTAAAATTCCCCAGACCTGCAAAATAATAGCCTTTTGCAAAAGATCACATGCTATAGAAATGCACCTGCTTTGTGCTGTCTGTCTAAAAAGATTCAAACTCTTTTTCCAGCAATGGAATATCTACTGTTTTTACACTTAATCAGCTATAATGAAGGAATATGAAGAGCTGTCATGTGCTTATTAGGGAAAATGATCAGATATTCTTTTATATGATGAAGTAACACACTGAGCTGATAATTCTATAGTGCACACTAAATTACAAATTAAAGGCCTTTCTGCTCCACCAGAATCTCATTTATAATCTCTGTGGAAATATTCTTCCTGCAGTTATTTCATTTATGCTTCTTTTATCTAATTACTATAATATTGGTTTTGAATCATATTTTCCTAATGTACCCTTATTCAATTATAAAGTTATTTTCAAGTACAGTTACTTTCTGATATCAAAGAATACCACTTGGCCATCTATGTCATTTGTCATGCTTCTTAATTGCAGATTGTTTCTGAGCCACTTTTTTCTTCACTTTTAAGTAGGTTGAAACTTCCATAAATCAGAATCTACTGAATTATCCCATTTCTTCAAAATGCTAGCCTGAAATGAATGTCCAGATCATGAGATGTGCAAAATCAAATATTTCATACTAAGTGTATCTTTAATCCATGCTACTGTGGTAGGTTTCAAGAAAAGCATAACACAGGCAATACTGTTAGAGACTAAATGTTTTATTTTAGTTTATAGAAATAGTTTTGCTCTGAAGGGCTGTTTCTGACTTTGTTCTTTCAGCTTGGAGGAGACTACAGATTAAGAATATGGACACATAAGAATATTGAGGCAATACAAGATCAGCTTCTTTTTTTTAGGCATACTTTAAAAAATTAATTCTTTCTTTCTTTCTTTATTTTTGGCTCTGCTGGGTGTTGCTGCACAGGCTTTTCTCTAGTTGGAGAGAGCAGGAGCTACTCTCCAGCTGTGGTGTTTGGGTTTCTCGTCACTATGACTTCTTTTGTTGCAGAGCATGGACTCAGTTGTTGTGACCTGTGTGTGAGGTCAGTAGTTTCAGTTTCCAGGCTCTATATAGCCCGGGCTCAGTAACTGCGGCACACGGTCTTAGCTGCTCTTCTTCCCAGATCAGGGATCAAACCTGTGTCTCCTTCATTGGCAGGTGGATTCTTAACCACTGAGCCACCTGGAAAACCCTTACTTCTTGCGTACTGCACAAAAGGTTTTCACTGGTCAGAATTTAATGAATTTAGTGAGTGGGTTATGTCTTAATGTGAGATTGTTTCCTAAAGGTCTGAGGAGAATCAGGATGGAATGACTAATCTCAAAGTTATCAACTTAAGAAGATCCAGCATGTGTGCAGGTTAAGTTGCTTCAGTCATGTCTGACTATTTGCAACCTTATGGTCTATAGTCCACCAGGCTTTTCTGTCCATGGGATTCTCCAGGCAAGAATTCTGGAGTGGGTTACCATGCCCTCCTGCAGGGAATCCTCCGACCCAGGGATCGAACACGCATGTCTTCCGTGTCTCTTGCATGTCTCCAGCACTGGCAGAAAGTTCTTTACCTCTAGCACCACCTGGGAAACCCCAAGAAGATCCAGAGCAATGTGTAATTATTTGATATAGCTAACACTGCAGCAATGTTTCAGGAATACTTAAATCTAGCAAACAACCATTAAACTCAAAAGAGAAGTGTTTTCTATTGAAGAGAGTGTTTTTACTTATTTTGAATTTTCCAAACACAAAAACTGAAACTGTAAATAACTTCCCTCATTCTCCTTCTCTTATAAAATGCTCTTTTGGTTAAAGAAGTCATACAAATGAGCAACAGTCTGTCTTATTTGTGGCTTTTAAAAGATAATGAATGACTGGATTTCATGACAGTGTGTGATGATGACAGGATCCCCTGTGTGATCTACTGACTGGGCTAACCATGGAATTAGTCACCTGGACTTCCAGGGAAGGAGGCCACAGTGCCAGGAGCTGGGTCCTCCTCTCCTCACTCCATCAGAAATCATATTCACTCTTGCCTGACCAGCCCTCCAATGATCACAAAGATTTCCAGGATTTAAAAAGAAAGCTCGTCCCAACAAAGAATTTGGGGATAGTGAGCTCTATTCTTTCTTTAAGACTGTTCTCCATAATGAGTTGCTTAAGTTAGCCCAAAGGATTTAGTACTTCCTATTCTTTATTTCCTGGGCTCCAAAATCCCTGAGGGTGGTGAGTGCAGCCATGAAATTAGAAGGCACTTACTTCTTGGAAGGAAAGCTATGACAAACCTAGACAATGTGTTAAAAAGCAGAGACATCACTTTGCCAACAAAGGTCCATATAGTCAAAGCTATGGTTTTTCCAGTAGTCATGTACAGATTTGAGAGTTGGACCATAAAGAAAGGCTGAGCTCTAAAGAATTGATGCTTTTGAATTGTGATGCTAGAGAAGACTCTTGAGAATCCCGTGGACTGTAAGGAGATCGAAGTACTCTATCCTAAAGGAAATTAACCCTGAATATTCATTGGAAGGACAGGGAGGCCTAGCGTGCTGCAGTCCATGGGGTCGCAATTAGTCGGACATGACTGAGTGACTGAACAGCAACACTCATTAGACTGATGGTAAAGCTGAAGCTCCAACACTTTGGCCACCTGATGTGAAGAGCCGACTCTAGAAAAGACTGATGTTGGGCAAGACTGAAGGCAATAGGAGAAGAGGGTGGCAGAGAATGAGATGGTTGGGTAGCATCACTGACTCAATTTACATGAACTTGAGCAAACTCCAGGAGATAGTGGAGGACAGGGAAGGCTGGTGTGCTGCATTTATGGGGTCACAAACAGTTGAACATGACTAAGCAACTGAACAACAACAAATTCTTTATTTATCAGAAATTGGCTCAGGAACAGTTTTTGTTAGGAAAGGGGTAAGTTATATCATTAACTGTGTATTAACTATAAAAGTACATGTTTTTAGAATTGAGGAAATGAGTAAAATTTAATCATTAGAACAATCCTATGAAGCTTAGGCACTGTGTGCTTTTCACATGTGAAGTTACTAAAAGGTTAGCTATTTTGCCTAGACTATAGAACTAGTGAGGGACAGAGTCAAAATTCCAACCCAGAGCTGTGTATTTGGGCTATACTGCACTGTTCCTTTCGATACCTGTAACTGTCCTTTTCTTCACTTAGATTTGGCCAATTCCTCACCCTTTATCTCTGCCTCCTCTCCAGCTGCCCACCCCCCCACCCCAGCACCAGTTGTCCTGCCCACAGTCATAGGGACTCTTCTCCAACCCCCTGCAAGTCTTCTCACTTCTTACCTTCTCATACCCATAAGGGTGCTTCTCTCTGTTTCTCCAGTTCTTCTTTACCTGGATAAATACTTCCTGACCTCGGCCTCTGCTTAAATACATCTTAGGGAGAAAGTCTTTCCACCAGACCCTTATCTCCTAGACCAGTGCTTTTCAAAAGATTTGGACTTACAGTAAGAAATACATTTTATATCGTGATTGAGCGTATATGCTCACATGTATTATACATGGTTTTCATTTCATAGTTTTCTAAAGCACGTAATTTAGTGCTTTTTAGTATATTCACAGTTATGCCATCATCATCCCTATCTAATTCTAGAAAGATTTTATCACATCAAAAAGACATCTCTGTATATGTATATTTTTATGTATAAAACGGAAACAAATTTTATTTCATGAAATAATACTTTGCCTTACTTACTGTGGGGAATGAATGCTGAAATTGTCTTTTATTACATCTATTCCATTCTTTCTATTATATTAAAAAAATCTTACAGTGACTCACTGCATGCATTTTGTGTCCCATCACGAATCTGTAACTAACAGTTTGGTAAGCCTTGCCCTAGACTACAGCCCATTTCCCTGTCCCACAGGTCAGAGGCCCATTTTCTTCACCTCACATGACCTAGCACACTGGCCACTACTTGGTGACTATCTGCCCAGCCTAGAAGACTATTCCTGGAGGGCAGGCTCTAGATCTGCCTTATTTTTGACTAGATGTATTTCCGATACCAGGTGCAGTGAAATAGTAGGCACTAATAAAAATCTGTTGAGTGGATAAATATTTGACTTTGAAGAGAAAAACAATCCTATGTACTTATTTTAGGTTAGTGTTCACATGAGGAAATAAAATGCAAGAAACCTATTATCTTACACTTACTACCCATGTAAGCCAGCAGCAGTGTCACCTCTTCCTCCAAAGTAGGGATATGGCCCTGAATTATCCATATAAATGCTCTCTTCACTTTGCCTATAAATTCAAATTGAACAGTCCAATCTCCAGGAGGACCCTACAGATGAACTCTGTACCCAGCCTGAGCAGCGGGGCCGTAACAAAAAGCCCTAAGCAAGAGCTTTTAGAAAGAATAAATAATTCCATTGGCAGCAACATGGGTGGACCTAGAGCTTATCATATTAAGTAAAGTAAGTCAGAGAAAGACAAACAGCATATGATATTTGTGATCATATGTGATCATGTATGTGATCATATGATCATATGATCACTTACAATATGATATTTGTGATCATACGTGATCATGTAAGTGATCATATGATCATATGATCACTTACAATGTGGAATCTTAACAAAAAAACTGTATGAATAAATGTATTCATAAAACAGAGACAGTCTCACAGATTTAGAAGAAAAACTTACTGTTACCAAAAGGGGTAGTGAGGGAAAGAGATAAATGAGGAGTTTGGAATTAACCACTGCTATGTATAAAACACATAAACAACAAGGACTTACACTACAGCACAGGGAACTATATTAAATATCTTGAGGGCCAGCCAGGAAGACCGATTCCTCGCCCTGGCCCGTCCCCGTGCCGCCGCTCGCCCTCGCTCCGTACCTGTCTTTGCCGGTCTCGCGCTTGAAGAGCTCGTCGAACTGCAGCATCTTGTGGCGCGTGATCATGAAGGCCTTCAGCCGGGGCAGCACCTGGCTCAGCAGCTGCAGGTTGTTGTAGACCTGGCCCTTGCCGTCGCGACGCATGTAGCTGCTGGGGCCCCAGAAGATGAAGACGGTGCCCTGGCTGACGTTGAGCAGGTCGTGGCGGTTGCGCAGGATCCGCTGGATGCTGGAATGCGCGATGACCCGCAGGCTGGTGCGGTTGCCCACGTCGCGCCCGTAGCCACGCGTGGGGGCGTCGTTCATGCGGATGACACATTCCGTCTGGTCAATCTGGGCACCTTGCCGGCTGCGCAGCAGCTGCCCCGAGCTCGTCACCAGGGCGCAGTCCCTGCAGTGCATTTTCAGGGGCTGGAAGGAGAGGGAGAAAGGCTCCGTCAGTGGGCGATGCCCTCTTGGCACCAGCAGGTCACTTCCCTGCCTCTGAGGGCTGCCTCTCTTTTTGTTCCTCCCTCCTTTGCCAAAACATACCCCTGATGCTATTACCTCATCAGGCTGGTGTCAGGGAGCCCTGGACAACAGGAAAAGAGCCAGCAGTGACCTGTCGAATATGGGGGTCTGGGCTTCACTGATATTAACAGATCAGATTGTCATATCAATGTAAAAAGCTTGCTGTGACTGCCATTTTACAGATAATGATACCCCAAGGCTCAGAGGCATTTTTTAAAAAAATGCTCAGATACATAACTAGCAAGTAATGAAGTCATACTCTCAAATTCAGGTCTTTCTGAATCCAAAGTTACCCCTAAGTTGAAGAAAAGACTATACTACAATGTGCTGTGACACTAGTTTTGATGCTCGTGACTCACCTGATTGTAAGTTAAGCGTATATCACTGTTCTCGGATGCTGTACAAATATTTTTATCCTACACAGGCATCATTTAAAAGTCACAGGAGAAAAGACATGCAAATTGTAACCCCTCAGATGCCATAATTTTGAAATGACAATTAGGATTGTTTCTCCCATTTTAAAGGGAGAGAGAGAGAAACTGAGCTGGTCCACCTTCAGAAATGCAAAGAAAGCCTTAAACTCATGGAGCGCACACATGCCCTGTGGGAGCCCTGGGTCTGCAGTCACCACCAAGCCAACGCCAAGGACGGGGCTCGCTTCGACACCCTGAGCCCCTGATGTGTTTTCTGAACAGCAACACTCCTATACGTTATACATTTCCCTGATCGTGTTTAATGAGAAATGTCTCAGTTGCTGTTTGAAGATAATGTAATTAGGGCCTGAGGCCAAGGCCAACAAGTGCACAAGAAACTGACAGTCAAGAATGTTCTGAAGGACAGTTGCTCTATTATATTTTCCCCAGAGTCTCTGTCCTCCCTCCCTGTTAACTTTGAACTGGACACGTGGTCCCTGCACAGTCCCAGGAAATTGTTCCAATTTTGTTCTGCATGAATTCAGTTGTATGTTTACTCTGGGAGTTTCCTGAGCCATGGCGCTGACTTCAGAATTGGACAAAGAGCACCAAAGGGTGGCCACCTTCCCTTACTGCAGAGTGGCAAAGGGCACCCACACAGGATGGTCCAGACTTGGCCCTACCACCTGTTAGCTTGGGGATCTTGGCCATTCACTAACCTCCACAAGTCTCAATTTTCTCATCTTTAACTGGGGATAATTTATGCACCATTCTGCTTTGCTAGAACACATAGTATCAGCTTGAGTCATATGAAATTGCCAATATTTGACCTGCAAAATTATTAATAGAAATTGCATGCAGTTCAACCCAGTCCTTACCGTAGGACCTGGCACAGTGTCATTCATTAAGTGATGGCTGATTCACAGATTATCAGGCGGAGTGGAGAGCATTGTAGGTCAGTACCAAGTCAGTAAGTACTGATCACCCGGAGTCAATAACTGACACATGGGCTTATGAAGGGGCAATTCTACCACTGCGAATTCTCATCATTCGTTTGACATCAAGTCACTCTCAGGTGAGGCTTCCCTGGTGGCTCAGTGGTAAAGAATCCGCCTGCAACGCAAGAGACCCAGGTGCAGTCCCTGGGTTGGGAAGATCCCCTGGAGAAGGGAATGGCAACAGCACCAGTATTTTTGTCTGGAGAATCCCCATGGACAGAGGAGGCTGGCAGGCTACAGTCCACAGAGTCACGAAGAGTCGGACACGATTGAGTGACTCTCAGCTTTACTACTCTTGGGTGACATGTACTGTGCTGGGCAGTAAGAATGCAAATGGAATGGAAAAACAGAACCCTTCAAAGTTTATACTTAGCAGGCAGTGGGTCAGTAAAGATGTGCAATAAAGTATGACATATTGCAGGGCTGTGCCTCAATGTTAGTAAAGGGGGCTGTTTGGAGCAGAGCAGAGCGGGGGACATAAAGGAAAGGGTGAGCTAATATTAATATTTTAATATTAATTAAAATTAACGTTAACTTTTATTAATATTTATATATTAATAAAATTAAAATTAATTAATTAAAATTAAAATTAACATCCAGTTAATATTTCTGGATGTCCTCTATGTGCCAGGCACTGTTATGAGCTTTTTATATAATTGCATTAATTCTTCAAGTAACCCTATAAGAAAGAGAAATCATCACCCCTATTTTACTAATGAGAATATTGAGGAGTGGAAAAACAACCCAGTTTGTTAGGGGTTATTTGGGTTTTAGCATTAAAAGTCTTATATCCTTATATCCTTATATCTTATATCTTCTACTCATGTAGAAGCCCACTTAAAACAGTTCTACAAAGATGACTGGGGCATCTGCAAATAGCACATTACCAAATGGTGATTAGGGTCAGGAGACCCAGGGTCTAAAGCAGACTTTATCACAAATCAGGTACTTAGCTTTCTCAGTCATAAAACAAAGAGAGGGCCAGCTAAGATGCTAATAGCCAGATGACATTCATTCGTTCATTCATTTAAAAGACATTCATTGAGCACTTAGTATACCCCTGAGGTACAGTGTAACTCAGTCCATTTGCTTGATAAGGTCACTTTGTAAGATTTCATTCCACTGGACCCTAAGGCCATTGGAACCTGCTTTTTCTTATCAGACTCACTTAGAACTATTAACCCTGAATTTTCCAGTCTGATCTATAATTTCTAGATATTGTGCTCATTTTTACTGGTGAAAAATTCTAAAGAAAGGTCCCAGCATCTCTTTCCCCGTAATTACTCTACTGTGATTCTCAGAGCACAGGCTGCTTGGTGGGTGAAACTGGTAACACCTCTGAAGATTCCAAGGACTTCTCTCTCTCTCTCTCTCTTTCTCCTATGCCCATGTGAGGCCAGATGAAGACCCTTTTAGGGAAGGTCAACATTCCTGACTATGCCATACAGACCCTCTGTGATTCCTGGGCACCATCAGAACACACTGGGGTCCACTCTGTCCCAGAAAGCCCTCCCTCATGCCCACCTGCCTGAGCTCTGAGGTATATTGATTACCTTGGGCACCAGCACCCTCTCTTTGTGTTGCTCAGATGCACCAAACAATGAAGAAAAGATCGATACCTGAATTATACCTTAAGTGCCTTTCAGTAAGTGGAGCCAGTAAAATGACATTAACTGTTCTAAACATAATGGTACACTTCCTGCAGTTGAGAAGAGCGTGTACCAAAGGCTGAATCCTTTCCAAAGAAGGAAATGAAGTCTCTTTCCTGCATTCAGAGGGACTAAGGATATCTTGGGAGGTGGAATGACTGTACAGATTTTGGGACCCAGGTTCTTGGAATGTTGCTCCTCCGAGACAGCCTTGCTCCTCCACATTGCAGGACCATGACCATCCTGAGTGTCTTAATGAAATGGGTGGATATGTTCATGCCTTGGTGAGTTAAGATTCCTGACGGAGTATTGACACCATCTTCACTTAAGTACTCAGATGTTGAGTTGATGAATCACGCAGAGGAGTTTGGGAAAGTGAACTTGGGGCTGTGCTGGCATGCCTGGGAAGTAAACCTGCGCCAAGGATGCAAGAGGGGTAGTGGGTCCCTGTGAACTCACTGCATCCCTGTCCTTTTCTTTCTTCTCACAGTATTCAGCCTCCCTGACTCTCGGGGACATTTTCCTAAAGCCCCATTTGGCGAGGTGATCTGACCCTGGTAGGAAACATGAGCACCCATATTAGCCACTCCAACCTTGATAATCTCTCTTGCTTCCTGGCCCATAAAAACACTCAATTGCTACTGAATAGACAGATGAGTTCATAAGTGAGTGAATGAAACTCAACTTCTACGCCTCTCTGTCCTCTGAGAAAACCTACACACATAAAAAGAAGACGTCATGTGATGCCCTAACCAACAATTTGCCTGCAGCTCTATGCACCAATGCCATGGAGAGAAGCAAGGGAGAGCACAGCGGAAGCTCTGTCTGCAGAGAAGGAGGCTGGGCCGTTTGCTTCAAGGCAGCCACTTGACCCAGGCAGCCATAATGGCCAGAGCCCAGGGCACTGCTTGGAATTAATGGCTGACTGGGAAAATGGCCCAGGACACAGTAAGGGCCATTAAACCCAGCCAGTTATTAATCCCCAGTAAGAGCTCGATGCCAAGGTCATTAGAGCTGTTGTATGGTGAAAAATGCTGAGGAAAGTCTGCAAGGCACGGAGGAGTTTCCCTTTGTCCGGGCCACTGATGCTCAGGCCCTAGGAGCGTGCTTCACAGGGGTGTGCGGGGGGCAGCCGAGGGAGCGTGCACATACCACACACACATGCACACACACACAGATGTGGGCACACACAGTGTTTACCTTTTTATTTTTGCTATCACTTCTCCTTTTTGATAATATAAAGATTTGGCATCAGCCCACTTCCCTGGGTTGGGGAGATCCCCTGGAGAAGGGACCGGCTACCCACTCCAGTATTCTGGCAGAGAGAATTCCATGGACTGTACAGTCCATGGGGCCGCAGAGTTGGACATGACTGAGCAACTTTCACTTTCACTTCCTAGGACAGTGGCTGCCACTTACTAGGGGCTCATGAAAGTGTAAATGAACTTCTCTCTCTCCATCTCCTACTCCTGGGGAAAAAATAAAAAAGCAACCATACAATCAGGGAATAGGGGAGAATGACAACTTTCATCACAACTTACTCCTTTGGGCCACAGCGACAGGGGCAATTCCTGCTTGAGAAAGCATGCTCAGGGTATCAAGGTTTGATTTCTGTCACAGCTCAAAGAGCAAGAGCAGAAGGAATTCTCCCTGTGACCCAGCTGATGCCTCCTGAGCCTTTCTTAAAAGAACAGACTAGGCCAAGTCAAATTAAACTTGACACCTGAAACACTCAGTGATGTCCTTGCAAACATTTGCAGCATGGCTATCTTGGACTTCAGTTTTTAAAATTCAGATTTATTTGGAAGAAAGAAAGTCACCTCAGAACATGATGTCCATTA